ACTTCTCATAATGCAACTGTACGTGCTTATTACAGTACCCAGACTGACATTTCATTGTTTTCCCTTCTTTCCAGTCATTAAAGAAAACCACATTAGGGCCAGGCGCAGTGGCTCACACCTGTAATTCCAGCAGTTTGGAAGGCTGAGTCAGGCAGATCACTTGAGGCCAACAGTTAGAGACCAGCCTGACCAACATGGTGACACCCTCATCTCTACTAAAAATACAAAAACTAGCCAGGCATGGTGGCACATACCTGTAATCCCACCTACTCGGGAGGCTAAGGCATGAGAATTGCTTGAACCCGGGAGGCGGAGGTTGCAGTGAGCCATGTTCACACAACTGCACTCCAGCCTGAGCAAGAGCGAAACTATCTCAAAGAAAATAATAATTAAAATTAAAATGGCACTAAGACTATGACAAAATTACATTCCCTACAGAGGAAAGGTACATTCTGGCATCTAAGTAAAAATTACATTACAGAATCATAAACCTCTTAAACAAAAGCTGGCACATGCAAACATACAATCTAACTTTCTCAAGGTATCAGTGTCTACTAGACATCTAGTTTTAGGTTATCAAGTGTCCAGTTTTTAAAAGATTAAGAAACTGAAGGCAAAAGAGTTATATACTCTTGCCAGGTACAGTGGCCATGTAATCCCAGCATTTTGGGAGGCCAAGGCAGGAGGATCGCTTGAGCCCAGGAGAGTTTGAGAACAGCTTGGGCAACATAGCAAGACCTGGTCACTTTTTTTATTTTTTTTAAATACAGAGTCTCACTCTGTCAAGCAGTGTAGGCTGGAGTGCAGTGGAGTGATCTTGGCTCACTGCAACCTCCGTCTCCCAGGTACAAGTGATTCTCTTGCCTCAGCCTCCTGTGTAGCTGGGACTACAGGCATGTGCTGCCATGCCTGGCTCATTTTTGTATTTTTAGTAGAGATGGGGTTTCACTATGTTGGCCAGGCTGGTCTTGAACTCCTGACCTCGTGATCCACCTGCCCTGGCCTCCCAAACTGCTGGGATTACAGGCGTGAGCCACCACATCCACCCGACCCTGTCTCTTTAATAAAATCAAAAGTTGGGGGTTACATACTGTTGTCACAATTCTCCAGCTCATTACCTTTGCTCACCTTTAGCATTCCAGAAAATGAGGGAAAACCTTGAGAGAAATGGAATGCAAGTATCAGGTTAAACCCTTGCTTAATTAATGTGCTTACCTACCTTATTTCCACAAAAAGCATGAAGTGACATGACTAACAAAGGCAATTCTATTCTGAAAGATTTGAAAGCAGGAAAACCCATTCTTGCAATTAGTTCACAGGACAGTGACTTACCATTTCAATGATTACATTTCAGACCTCTGATAAAACTCATTTTAACGGCTGAATAGAATCAAGTTTAGGTCATAACTGAGCATAATACCAAATGAAGCACAGATAAAACAGTTGTAATTTACTGTGAGAACTCAAACAGATATTTCACACTATTTACAACCACTTAGAATAGTAGCTGCCCATTTAACAACAAGTTAATTTTTAAAAAATAGGTACTACCTGCTACTGAGGGAGGTAAAGCTCCAGTTGAACTAAGTGTCACTAGTAGCGAATTAACAGCTAAATTTACGGAACATCTATTACAAACCAGGATTTACACCAGGTGCTTTTCATTATTCTTTTCATCCTCACAGTAACACTGTGGAATATATTAAGTTGCATATCTAAAGTAAAGGCTAAAGCTGGGCACAGCAGCTAATGCCTGTAATCCCAGCACTTTTGGAAGCCAAAGCAGGTAGATCATGTGAGGCCAAGTTTGAGACCAACCTGGCCAACATGGCGAAACCCCACCTCTACTAAAAATACAAAACAGGTTGGGCGTGGTGGTGTGCACCTATAATCCCAGCTACTTAAGACTGAGGCATGACAATTTTTTGAATCTAGATTTTTTGAATCTAGACTTTGCAGTAAGCAGAGATTGCACCACTGCACTCTAGCTGGGGTGACAGAGCAAGACTCTTGCAAAAAAAAAAAGTCATAGCAAAAAAAGGAGCAAAGTGTGGTTTCAAACCCAGGTGTGACTACTTCCACTATACTGTATGTTAATACAACTGGTTGCTGGGCACGGTGACTCATGCCTATAATACCAGCACTACGGGAGGCCTGAGCAGGCAGATCTCACTTGAGGTCAGGAGTTTGAGACCAACCTGGCCAATGTGGCAAAACCCCATCTCTAAAAATATGAAATTTAGCTAGGCATGTTGGTGAGTGCCTGTAATCCAAGCTACTTGGGAGGCTGATGCATAAGAACCACTCAAATCCAGGAGGCAGAGGTTGCAGTGAGCCAAGATTGGGCCACTGCACTCCAGTCTGGGCAAGAGTAAGACTCTGTCTCAAAAAAAAAAAAAAAAAAAAAAAAAATTGTAGGGGACAGGATTTTTAAATATTACAAAGTCAACACAAACACAAGTATTTTTTGAAGGTCCCCAATGATACCACTGGTGTAGGTAAGTGTGCCATCACTACACATGCTCTTATATATTGCAAGTTGGGACACTGCTGCACTGAACATGCTTCAGCAGTGTCCTTCAACCAGACCTAATGATATAATACACTGTAACTTCAATCATTGTGCCAGAGTAGTTCTACAAAACAAATACTCCATAAGGGTAGGTGGAATGAATTTAAAGTTTCTAAGTTAACTGTATAAGTGAACAAAAAACAATTACAAAACCTGTTAAACTAGCTAATTACAATACATTCCCAAGTCCTAAACTACAAATTTTCAGGTCCACACGTCCCATAATTACATAAATACATATAATATTTTTTTCTTTTGAGACAGAGTCTTGCTCTGTCACCCAGGCCGGAATGCCGTGGTACAATCTCGGCTCACAGCAACCTCCACCTCCCAGGTTCAAGCGATTCTCCTGCCTTGGCCTCCTGAGTAGCTGGGGATCACAGGCATGTGCCACCACACCCCGTTAAATTTTGTATTTTTAGTAGAGACGGGGTTTCACCATGTTGGCCAGGATGGTCTCGAACTTCTGAACAGGATCTGCTGGACTTCGCCTCCCAAAGTGCTAGGATTACAGGCATGAGCTACCATGCCTGGACTACCCTCATTAGCTGCATCAACTTAGTTTACATAATTATGGAGCATTCAAGTATCTAATATCAGATTAAAGATGGGGTGTTAAAAACAAGTTATTTAACATATTCCTAAATTTAAAATGTTTTATATAACCACATTATAACGGTATACAGAAACACTAGCAAAAAAAAAAGGACTAAAAGTATTTTATGGGGAACCAGATCCTTCAACATACTGAATTTCATTAATATAAATCTGATTTTATTAAGACAATCTGATTTTTTAGATTAACACTAAGTTTAATTCTAACAAATTATCTGTGGAAATTAATATTCTAATCCTTACACTAAAATCAAGCAAATAATTTTTTAAATGCTACTTTAAATCATTAACCCTAAGAATTTTGCTTAATTACATTTTATACCAAAATAACAGGGGCGGGTAGAGAATTAGTGACGGACTTAAAAGGAACCAAGAAATTTGGGGGAATAAATTATGTTCACATAGTTGTAGGTGAAAACACTGTAAATTGTATGGTTTATCTGTTTAAGTCAACTTATACCTCAATAGAGTGTTTAAAAAAAAAAAAAAGCTACAGAAAATATGAGCTTTAAATAGCCAAAATTGCTTTTCAGACTTCCATTGCCTGGTTCTGAGTTCAGCAAGCCCACACTATCTAATTTAACTAGTTTCTGTACTTGTAGGCTCCTTTTCAAACAATATGGTCCAAGCTCTTTATCAGTTGCCCATTAGACAGCAAGCTGAAACTACATTAAACTGTAACTGTTCTCTTAAACCATGTGCATGGCTCCAGCCCTTCATAACCAAGCTTGTTAATGTCATTAGCTTAATGCATAATCATACCACTGTACTTTACCATATTTATAAAGAGTAAATTACTAAACACATGCCATATCACAATGCATGAAAGCACAATAAACATGAGTTAACTGCTGGTAAATGGGCATTAAGGCAGAAAAAAATTGTCTGAATATAAGAAAGATGCCAAAAACCAAAATTACAGAATCTTTTCTGAAAGTAGAAAACATAGTAGGGTAGATCTCAAATGTAGACCACATTCTTCAGGCTCCTTCTAGCTTGTTTTTGCAAATATAGGTTGCATCTGATAGATTTCATTAATCTATTAAGCAAATAGTACAATCTAAAAGTCTCAAACACATTCAACATGTAATACTGACAGCTTTGTGAAAGCATGCTTTACATTCTCCTGTGGCTAATACTAACTACATTTAACTTTAGCTGACTAGATTGAATTGTGGCAAATTATACAGTAAAAGCTTATTTTAAGAATAAGGTGTATTTAATATTTTATTACCATTCTAACACTTCCTCAAGTTTTGTGGGAGTGTGCTAGTGTGTTGTTTTTGTTTTAATTTCCCCATCACAACCAGTCTCAGAGGGAACAAAAAAATACAGCTTCTGGTGAAAGCTGGGGAGTCCAGGTAGGGTATTTATGTAGAAAGCAAAAAAAGACTGCAGCCACCTGAGAAAATATCATTTTAAAAAACAACAAACAGGATTAGATCTGACATAAAACCTCAAACATGTTTGCTCTAAGATTATGCTCTTTACAATTAGAATATATTTAAACATGGGGGGGGCTAAAAGCAAATGAGGGTAAACAAAACCAGAAAAATCAAAATACAAATATACACAGAGCCAAAATATTCTTTCAGCCAGCAGCAAAACAGAAATAATTCCAAAATCAATGTGCAAATGAAAATAGTTGTCATTCAATAAACTTGTGTATTTGATAATGAAAAGGCTTAGCTTTCCTTTTCTAACCTCAGAAAGTAATCACCTTCTTTTAAAAGTATGACTCTAACAAGTGAATAAAGCATGTTTAGGGTGTGTTTATGTTTAGAAACAATACCTTGAACACTAAACAACAATATTCTGAAAATCCAGTTTATTTTCCATGTCGTGGACAGATCCAGTCAGTGTGATCAGTTTTTCTGCATGTGTAGTAATTTATCAAAATAAGTTTTCCCACAAGACTCTTTTCTATCAACTCTGAAAACCCTGGTCTGACAACATACCCAAATAAAGCTTTTGAAAATCACCTCTTAAAATTTGGAAGAAAATGTGGCAAGTCTTTCCTGTAACATTTACTAGACTACAAATGGCTAAAGAGCATTATGTTTTAAAAGGTGAATAGTACAACAGCTGAGTTCAGGAAATTGTTTTAGTGCACTTTGCTCCAGTTTTAGCTAACATGCTACATTTTCCTTTTTGGTTTTTTGTTTTTCTGTTTTTTGTGGAGGGAGGAGAGGGGGGCCGCACAAAGTGGACTTGAGGATTTCCATTGTACGAAAAAGATAGACTCTGCAAGCACAACAGTGTAAGCTGCCTTTTTTCTTAAGACCTGGACATTTTAAGACAGAAGCTTTGCAAAACATTACACAATTTTTTATTATTAAATGAGAAAATCTCATTTGTTACATCGTCACATTGCTAGTCAGAGAAATGTTGCAGTGATGAAGAAAGTCAATGCTGGACCAACCAAAGTCCTCATTCCTACAACATTCATTTACAAAGAAATAATGTTCAACACAGCCCAACAAAACATTCTTGGTTTTCTTCATATTGAAGTCCCCCAAAAAATCCTCTTCTAATGGGGTATTTCACTACATAAATTATAGTTCTTCATTTTTACAATTCACCCCAAACTGTATGAGAGATGTATCACACTAAGATTTCTAAAGCTGTTAGGAAATCTTTCACACATCGTCGTCATCTGATGTGTCACTGCTACTTGTTTCTGTGTCATCATTCTCAACTGTGGGTTTGAAAGTGCTGTTCTTCCAGGGTCCAAACTTGAAGTCACAGATCAGGCCATTCTTCAAAATACCATTTTTTCTAAGACCATTCTTCTGTAACTAAAATGTTAAAAGCAAAATAAATACATTATCCCTCAAGAGTTGCATACCTACTGTAATAATTAAATATAAGCATAAATATAATAAAATTGTATCATATCCCAAAAATTTCACAAGTAATGATATTTCCAAAAAACATTCTGGATCCAGACAAAGTAGATGTGAGTAGTAATTGTCACACTGATTAAGGTACTAAACTTTTCCACATTTTTATTACCTCAAGTGAAAACTAACAAATACCTTCAGGGACTGCACAGAATAAAATCAGGAACAATTAAGCTGTATCTGTTATTTTTATTATTCTGACCCAAATTAATACACCCCCACAATCTGCTTTATTCACAGTTTGTAAAGTAGAATGAGATATACAAAGTTACAAAATCACCTCTTATTTAACCAGAGACATAGATACTAGAAAAAATACAGTTCTGAAAATGAGAAATCATAACTAAAAGGTTAGTTGGTAACAAGAATTTGGTCAAAAGGTCATCAAAGAGGAAAAAAGATAGTTGGCCCAAATTAGAAGCGATTTAAAGATAGAAAATAAGCCTAGAGTAGTGGCAAAAGCCAGTAGTCCCAGCTACTCAGGAGGCTAAGTCAAGAGTTTGTTTAAGCCCGTAAGTTTGGGGATGCAATGAGCTATGATTGGTCACTGCACCCCAGCCTAGATGACAGAGTGAGACACCAACTCTTTAAATAAATTAAATAAAGAAAACAAACAAACAAACAAAAGACCTAAATAAAAAAATAAATAAATAAATAAATAAAATAAATAAATAAAATAACAGATTTAGAAAAAACATTTCAACTTCCTAATGCTCTAACAAACATTCCCTAATACTCTTTCAGAAAGGTAGCTAGGGAGACATTAAGCAAGATGTTTTAGAATATGAAATGCTCTTGTGCAAGAAAAGGATAAAAAGTAAAGTTACTCAGGAAGCTACTAACACTCTCTACTTCTTATCACTCTTACTCCTCCCCGACCCAAACACACACATACACACACACGCACACAAAGCCAAAACAAAACACAAAAGGTCTGGAAAATGACTATTGTGGACATCACTCACACTAATTCCTATGCACACTCAACAGTTTAAAGTCACTATTGCAGACTTGTAAAAATCAGTTCAATCAGGCACAGTGGTTCCCTTCTGTAGTCCCAGCTACTCCAGAGGCTAAGGTTGGAGGAACACTTGGCACCCAGGAGTCCTAGAGGCCAGGTGGACAACACAGCAAAAGCCTGTCTCTCTCTCTTTTTTTTTTTTTTAAGGCAATTCTGATCTATCGTAATAAATTCCTAATAAAAATTTTATAATCTCCCTCACTCCATGCTTACATATAATTATGTTGTTCTAAATAAGGGCAATTTAAAAGTGTAACTGTATGATTCAGGTTTTCTTACCTGTTCACTAATAACTTGGAATTCTCTCATTTCATCCTCAGTTAAGGGAGCACATGTTTCATCATTTTCACTGTCTTCCTGCCAGCCCATTTCCTTTAACAATCTGAAAAGGAGAGGATATTAAGGTTAATTTAAAGCTTACCCTGAGCAGGACAGTTTCATTTATATTAGGTATAAGAAAACATGATCCAAGATCCATTATACAAAGTCCCCAAGACACATCAAAAGGATTTTTGAGCTCAGGTTTTGAATATCTTTCCGAATATGAATAAACAGGTAAGATTAAGACTAATAAACTTTGATAGTAAAATTAGAATGAATCCCTTGACTGCTTAATCTTTGATGCCAAAGACTCTTCTCAGGCTGGACACTTATAACAGATCTGAAGCAAGTCTGCTAAATCCTTACACTAAAAGTAACAGCAATACACCTTTCTCTTTTCTTCAGTACCACCAAAATCCACCTTATTTGTAGTTACTCATTAGGTTTTCTACTTGGGTAATCATAAACACTGTAGCAATACCTACTGCATTTGACTGGGAAACCTCCAAGCTTATTTCTTATATGGCCACATATCTTATATTGATATGAAAGTGTTTGTTTTTTAAAAATGAAACCCCTAAGTACTTCTGTTACTCCTAGGAATCTTAAAAAAGTTAGTTTAAAAATGTGTATCATGGAAAAATTATAAAAGAATTTCAAGAAAAAATTCTGCACCAAAATAAATTTGTGCTAACTTGTGATAACATGTTTCAACAGGATCTAGTTTAAGGCACCACAAAGGGTAAGACATCAGTTTGAGAAAAGCCCCTATCAGATCAACATGAATTCTGCCAAATCGAAGCAAGAACATCAAATTTATGGTGAAACTTGGGTAGAAGAATGGTGAAATCGTTGATGCTTTATGAAAAGTTTATGGGGACAAAGTAAACCAGCAATTTCAAATAGATAACCCATTTTAAGAAGAGATGAGGTAATTCTGAAGATGAAGGTCTCAAAGAAGCAGCAGCAGACCATCCACATCAATTGGCAAAGAAAAAGTTAATATTGTTAATATCCTAACTGAGGAGGACCAACAATTTAACAAAAGAAACAGCCAACACCTCAGACAAGACCTCTCACTTGGTTTGGCTTAAATAATTCTGACTGAAAAATTAAAGTTGAGCAAACTTTCCACTCAATACGTGCCCAGGTCATCTGCAGACAAAAATAGAGCTTTCAATGGAAAGTTTAAACAACTGGAATCAAGATTCTGCAGGATTTCTTTAAAGAACTGCATATGGTTTTACCAGTATGATCCAGAAGACAAATCACAATCAAAGCACTAGCTACCAAGAAGTGGAAGTGATCACTCAAAGCAAAAGAGTATGAGAGTGTTTTGAGAAGAAAAGCTTTAGCAGAAAAATGCCTAGAAAAGCTTCACCAGAGAGTCCTTAACCACAACAATACTCTGACTCCTCTCATCAAACAAGGGCACTTCTGCAAAGTTTCAATAAATCATTGGGCATGAACCTTTCAGTCCTACTTTGGCTCCTTCTGACTTCCTGGTTTCCTAATCTTAAAACAAGTTTTAGAGGGGACCCATTTTTCTTCAGTTAGTGTAAAAAATATAACACTGACATAGTTAAATTGCCACGGCCCTCAGTTCTTCAGGGATGATCTAAATGACTGGTATCATTGCTTGAAAAGGAGTCTTGAACTTGATTGGAGTTATGTTGAAAAACAGTTAATATTTTTTGGTTTTATCATTTAAGTACATTGTTCCACAAACTTTTAATTCCTCTCTTATTTACACCTGCTCATCTTTAATTTGTGCCTCCTACACATTAGGGGCTTATAGACTTTTTTTTTTTTTTTTTTGAGACGGAGTCTCACTCTGTCACCCAGGCAGTAGTACAGTGGCACGATCTCAGCTCACTGCAACCTTCACCACCGGGTTTAAGCAATTCTCTGCCTCAGCCTCCCAAGTACCTGGGATTACAGAAAAGTACCACCACGCCCAGCCAATTTTTTATATTTTTAGTAGAGATGGGGTTTCACTATCTTGGCCAGGCTGGTCTTAAACTCCTGACCTTGTGATCCACCCGCCTCGGCTTCCCAAAGCGGTGAGATTACAGGTGTGAGCCACCACATTCGGCCCCCTTGCAGACTTTTACGCCTTTTTTCAAAGAGTCTCTCATAATATCTGAGACCCTGAATAAAACATAACATGATATTCACATTTTACAGATGAAGAATGAAGATCACATAAATAAAATGTGATGCCTACTTGATGGCAAAGAGAAACAGAATTTTGGCTTTCTGCCTCCCAAATTAGTACGTATTGCACAGCACCCTGCTGCTTCTGAACCAAAATGTCACAGTCAGCATTAATCATTTCTTCTTCCATTTCTTTTAGCCACGACTTATTCCAATGCACTGTCTTTACTCTAATCTGGATGGCCTCAATTTGGAATAGCATTTCCATTCACTGACAACTGACACAGAGAATATACTAGACTAGCCAAACAATCTAACTGCTCTTTTGCTGTATCCAAACTTTTACCTGTTTTACTTTTAAACTGAATGGTAACTAAGCAATAATGCAGGTGGAAAAAACTATGAACTATTATGAAAGAGAATATAACAGAACACAAGTATTTCTAATTCTCCACCAGAGGCTGCAGCTTTTAACTATTCCTGAAATAGCTTTCAAAATAATCTAACCAGTCAGAGCGGCTCATGCCTGTAATTCCAATCTCTTTTAGAAACCGAGGTGGGGGCCGGGGGCGGTGGCTCACACCTGTAATCCCAGCACTTTGGGAGGCCGAGGCGGGTGGATCACAAGGTCAAGAGATCAAGACCATCCTGGTCAATATGGTGAAACCCCGTCTCTACTAAAAGTACAAAAAATTAGCTGGGCATGGTGGTGCGTGCCTGTAATCCCAGCTACTCAGGAGGCTGAGGCAGGAGAATTGCCTGAACCCAGGAGGCGGAGGTTGCGGTGAGCCGAGATCGCGCCATTGCACTCCAGCCTGGGTAACATGAGTGAAACTCCGTCTCAAAAAAAAAAAAAAAAAAAAAAGAAACCGAGGTGGGAGGATCGCTTGAGCCCACGAGTAAGACCAGCCTGAGCAACAAAGTGAGACCCCATTTCTACAAAAAAATTATAAAAACAAAAACAAATAATTTGGTTGTTTCCCTTTCCCCCATAAACATACAAACACGGGCCATGTATCTATGTTTCAGTCAGATAACTGCACATATGATGCATAATCCCATGAGATTGTAATGCCATTTTTTTACTGTACTTCTGTATATATTTAGATATGCTTGGATATACAAATACATACCAATGTATTATAATTACAAATAATGTACAATATTCAGTATAATAACATGCTATACAGGTTTTCAGTCTAGAAATAACAGTCTATACCCTATAGCCTAGGTATGTACCAGGTTATACCATCTAGTTTGTGTAAGTACACTCTTACGATTTTCACACCATGACAAAATCACCTAACGACACATTTATCAGAATATATCCCTATCATTAAATAATGCATGACTGACTTTATTACTGTAACACTCATCTGTACTTTGCTTTTTCATTTATTCTTTCCCGCTCTCCTTCAAACTATTGCCAAATCATCCTGATACCCGTTTCACAATTACCATCCCCTGATAAATATTTTCAGTGTCTTCTCATTTTCTAGAGAACAAACTCCTTAACTGTGTTTGTGCCATGGTCACAAATACAAATTCCTCAGTAGAGAAAATCTAGGATTAGAAGTTAGAAGACCTAGGCCACAGTTCCTACTCTACCACAAGCCAAGTATAAGATATCTCTTATACTTATGTAAGTATCTCTTATACTTATATACTCTTGTAAGTCCTGCCTTTTCAATATGATCTTTAACTTCAGTAAGTAAACTGCCTACTCCTGTCAAAATATTCCACTTAATACCCTTAAAACAAACTAGGTATATACACCACTCTAACCATGTCTTTACATCTCTTCTTTTTCCAAAATACTATCTAGCAGCCTTGCCCTTATTTGGGTCTAACCCTTTCAAGATTTAATTTAGGTCCCAAGTAAAACTTTCTGACTAGGGCCAGGCATGACAGTTCATGCTAATCCCAGCAATTCAAGAGGCCAAGGCAGGAGGACTGCTTGACACTAGGAGTTCAAGATCAGCCTGGACAATATAATGAGACCATGTCTCTAAAAAACAAATATTTATATGAGTGGGTGGGAGGAAGAAAGGAAAGGAAGGATGGAAGGAGGGAGGGAGGGAGGGAAAGGAAGAAAAGAAAAAAAAGAAAAAGGAAGGAAGGAAAGAAAGAAACCTCTGACTGGTACCCAAGTCATAATGATCTCTATCCCTAAACCCACTGAATTTCTCTGGCATTTATTTCCACTAATTCATTTGGTGCTTGCTTAAACCAGCTGACAACTATATCCCTTTGATGTTGAGGCTACCCTCAATACCCTGATTTGACAATAAAATTAAGAATGAGTAAGGCCGGGCGCGGTGGCTCAAGCCTGTAATCCCAGCACTTTGGGAGGCCGAGGCGGGTGGATCACGAGGTCAAGAGATCGAGACCATCCTGGTCAACACGGTGAAACCCCGCCTCTTCTAAAAATACAAAAAATTAGCTGGGCATGGTGGCACGTGCCTGTAAGCCCAGCTACTCAGGAGGCTGAGGCAGGAGAATTGCCTGAACCCAGGAGGCGGAGGTTGCAGTGAGCCGAGATTGCGCCATTGCACTCCAGCCTGGGTAACAAGAGCGAAACTCTGTCCCAAAATAAATAAATAAATAAAAATAAATTAATTAATTAAAAATAAAAAAAAATAATAAAAAAAAAGAATGAGTATTTCGTATTTTAATGTTGGAAAATAATTATCTTTAAAAAACCTATCACTGCCCCATGATTGTTAAATTCAACTAATATTAGTATTTATATGTATATAACTTAAGAAATTAAAATTAAAGTTTACAGAAAATATAAAGCAATGGAAAAGAAATATCATTGCATTTTGACATGAAAAAAAAAAAAAAAAACCCTATAATCTAAAAGAAGCCATGAACTCTCTTAGCTTAGAATGGGGAAAAGGGTATTGATATATGTCTTT